TTTAACGTACGCGTTATTTTGTCTAAAATAAAATACAATACTATTACATACCATCTCAAATATGTCATTTAAATCATAAAAATAAACAAATAAAAATAATATTACAAATACAATATAACCACAAAGTTATTACAGCACAAAAGGCATTTTGTAAATTGTTGTAATATTTAAAAAAATAAAAGAGACCACCCTTAAACAGCAATGTTAATAATAGACAAACAAATGTATTTCAAACGACAAAGATAAGGATAGCAAGATACATAAATAAGGAAATGCGAAAGAGATGGCAAATCGTAGCTACAATATGGGTGGTCGAAGATTTTTTTCATTGCAATTTATGTTCGTAACTAAGTTTTAGGAGACAGCTTAACGTTGCTATCAATTTCAAAATGAATTGTTTGTCTTATTTAAATATCTAGATTTATCGATAGCAAACTGCTTATTCCTTCAAGTACTTGGAGATTTCATTATACCTAGGAAAATGGGCTCATCCCTTAAATACTAAGAAATAACTTTTAAAAATATTATTCCCGTCCATTGATTAGCGGATTGACCCACACTAAACACAGTTACATACTCAGAGCTGCCATTAAAATTGTCTAAAACTAAATAATACTTCATCTTTCTGCCCGGGTGAGGCGAGAGGGAGTGTCAGACTCTTACTAACTAAAAACCACCCCGTACCTACCTTTACAAAGACTAAGCTAAGGAAATACTGTTTTCTTTATGATGAATTTTGATACGTAGAAAGGTTAAACTTGGTACATATTCCAGTTCTTTATTTTAGAAATTTTGATTGGGGTAGTAGCTATACAGTATTGGATGGTATACTAAATCTATATTTCGTCGAGTGAAGCTGCGGGCAAAATCCATTAGTATAGACGGTAAATAAAAGTAGGTTCTTCTTCCCATAACCTCGGTTTGACCTCAAGTAGTGTTAATATGTTTCTGATTGTCTGATTATCGAATTAATACCGAAAACCGCGCGGACTAGGTCAATGCATAACCAAACGTAATAATAGACACAATAAGGGTCAATTTGGTATAATTGCTTTTTATTTCGGTCAAGCATGTTTGCTGATTAGTAAGATGCATTGGTCTTTGGTTTATATTAAGTGTATTTATTATAAACTGTTTCAGAATGCTTCTTTTGTTACATTATCAAGTGGGAGTACTAAGACACTACGATAACATTATAACCCACTATCATATAAATATTGTATACAGGGTGTAAACGCTCCGTGACGGTAAAAAGGCAAGTGATGGAAAAAAATCAATTTTTATTTTCATAATAGTAAGAAATTAAAATATGTTTCTTTTATGTAATTATAGTAGTAATATGATGTTCAAGACTGATGATGTTACATGAATAAACGAAAACAAAAACGACTAAAATTCTAAAAACCATTTTACCTTTTGTTATAGTTTCGATTACATTGTACATGTAAATATGGTATATTATCATATATATATATATATATATATATATATATATATATATATATATATATGATAATATACCATATATATGATAGAATTACGGTATGGCATATTTGACTGGGTACGATTCTGGATACTACTTGTTATGGATAGTGGTGCTGTTGACCACCTAGCCATCAGACCACCACAGATGGGGCCCAATAGGGCCTATGCCGATTCGGAGTCGCGGAGAACCTAACGGGTAACCGGGGCTCCGGCTCTACGTGCAAGAGAAGGAACGGGGTGGTTTTTAGTCAGTAAGAGTCTGACACTCCCTTCCGCCTCACCCAGGCGGGAGCAGTCATTCGACGATTTTCCCCCTTAAAAAAAAAAATACCACTATAGATTATGGTGTCAAACACAAAAACCCATTACAATGATTTTTACATAAACAGCCTATGAGTGGCAAATGCTGACCAAAGGCCTCTTGTCTCACGGAGAATGTTTGAGCGTTAATTACTCAGGTTGTTCAATGCGGGTTGGCGAATTCAAACTTATAATTAGGAATTGTCAGCCCAGGTTTCGTCACGACGTTTTCGTTCACCGTTTGTCAGCGGTATCTAAATAATCTTAGATACTATGTAGATTTAGTTAAATACTAAAATTCGATAGCTCGATGGAATTATGTAAATGCTTGCAGAAAACTAGATAAAACAACTGAACGTTATAATTTAAAATGCCATTTGAAACACGACAGTAGAATAAATGTAAATTGTCGAATAAATTTTATATTTGCAATGTTTTTGGATATTATTTAACCGGGTATACTGACTTGGTTTTTAAGTGTCATGGTGGCCCGGAGGTTTAAGACGCCCGCTTCTCATGCATGAGGGTGCGGTTTTTCCGAGTTATATGTACTTTCTAAGATTATTCAGACTTATAATTTCTAATTATAAGTTTGTAATCGCCAACCCGCATTGAGCAAACGCGGTGATTAATGTTCAAACCTTCTCCGTGTGAGAAGAGGCTTTGCTCAGCAGTGGACATTTATAGGCTGTAATGAAAACTGACTTGATTGATTGGTTGCAAAAGTGACCTAAATGTAGTATAAATAGTATCTACCTAATATTATAATGCGATTTTTCCGTGAAGGGCAGACTAATGGACATTGCACCTATGTCCTTCCAAATTGCTTCGAATTTATTCTTAAGTAGTAGGTACAACAAGTTCTTAAGATATCAGAAGACTATATGGCAACAGTTCACTAACCTCTGGTATGTTGGTATATGAGACACTATAGAAATACTTTTGTGTCTCGAGTAGATCGGCGACGTACCACGGATTTAGTATGAGTTCTTAATCATATTTGACCAAAGCTGTCCTATTGGTCGGGTCACAAGTGCGAGTACCTACCGAGCATGAGGTTTCGATCTTCTAAGGTTAGGCAAAAGTGCCACTGAGTTTAGAAATCATCAGATTACGAGGAAATCTACGGATCCGCGGAACATTTAACGGGCTGGGGCTCGGCTCGAAGAACAAGACTAAGAACGAGGTGACTTTTAGTCAATAAAAGTCACTCCCTCTTACCTCACCAAAGCTGGGATAAGGTACTGGATGATATTCAGACCATACAATCATCAATTTTCTTCAACCTACATTTTATTGGAAACATCCTTAAATGTTCAGTACGTAGCGTGTATAATATGTAATGAAAGATAATATTAGTTAATTGTTACAACACAATGAGCTTTAATTATAGGTAAAATTACGAAAGCGATCAATAGTACCTACGCTACCTAATGCCAGTTACGACATGGTACCTACTGAAGTAACTATAGGTGTAGATTATTTAAAAAGTTCTCATTATGATTAACAAACTCTGTATTAACTAACGCAGGCAAAATTACTACAGATTGATCAGAGTTCTAAATGTGTAACGTGTATATAACCCTTATATGGTAATAAGTTCAGTCCAATCATAGAATGGGAACTGGCTTTTGTGCAACGTGGCGTAGATTCGTTCTCCACTCATTCAATAATATTATGTATGTGTTAAAAATACCTAATTCCAAACTTAGAGTGGGAACTGATTGAGATTAACAACCGAACATTACCTTGACCGGCCAGGGATCGAATCAAATACATCGAGGTCAATTGCACTTGCAATCACTAGATCAAAAACTTGTGAAACTCGTTTAAATTCTTGTTTACAACAAGAAAAAAAAAATATAAAGGGAAAAATCTACACTCAAAGGTGTTTGACCTTAGAGCGGCAATTTAGTCGCTCTTGTAACTTAGAGGTAGCGGCATTTTATGTGCCCTATAAATAAACGAGATATGTGGAATAAGAAGTCCATATGACACATTCCAAGTTCAAACGGTTAGGTCTAGCATGAGTCTAGAACATAAAAAGTCTAGTAAACTGGAAGTGGGACACCTCGTGTGAGAATTATGAGCGTTTGTAAGCTGTAAGGCTGTGTGCATAGGGTTGATTGTTTATTGTATTGTTGTTTGTTTTTAGTAATATTACTTTATTTGATGTCTTTAGTTTAATGATGGTATTATGACTGGCCTATTACAAAAGTTCTGATTTGTGAGCCAAAAGTGTTTTATTGATATTCGCCGTTTTGTTAAACATCGATAAAATACGAAAAATATAAAGTATGCTACGTATATATTTGTGTAATAAAATAAATATATCGATTACTTTTTGTATTCAATGTAGTATCATAATTTTGCTCCCTTAATACTTTATGAAGGGGGTATGAACAGTACACCTGCGTCCAGGCAGGTATGTTATTAGTCTTACAGTCTCTTCTTATATTTACCCCTTTAAGGAAAACATGAGTGTGATACCGTACTCCGTAGAAATAGTAAATAGTGCAGTAAAAAATATTTAGGTATCGTGGCTACGAATAACGGTGTCGCTACGAATTTTCGTAGCGTCGGTTGCTACGCTAGGCTAGTTCGTAGCCAACTCGTGACGTGTGTATTTCATTGTTATACCAAATAGAGAAATGATAGTCTGTCATTACATGTCATTTGTGTGTCTGATTGAAGCTATCTTGATGAAATTGTTGTTTTTAGCGTTATAGTCATTTTATTACTTTTACTTTGCTAAATTTTTTATTTTATTTTCGTTAATATCGTCCCTGCCGGGCAAAGGCCTCCTTACCCTCCTTCCCGTAAAAGTTTACTACGGCTAATCCTTGTCGCAGGTGTCAATTGAAAAATATCTATAGATACCTAAACAAAGGTAGATTTTGCGATATGACAATATTAAGGTACCTTCTGTACGCCTTCCATCCGTATTTAAAAGATAACAAATCCTCAAAGCCTTGCACTGAAACGTTTAGAGACAATAAATGTGTAAAAAATGTAGTCTTTACTTATATCGATTACAATACGACCATCAAAAAGTATTTGCCAAGCGAATTTCACCCAATATATAAAGACGAAGAAATTAAAATAGCTTGTATTAATTCATTAGAACCTCAATGATGAACGTGGCTTAAGTTTATCAGGAGGCTATTATGATAGGATGTTCGCGCCGTAGTTCCACGGTAGACGACGACGGGCCACGGTTCACTGAAAACGTACCACCCTCGCGATCAACCGGTAAAGTTTTATTCATAAAACGGCTTATTATGAAAGCAAATACTTCGCACTTTTTCCATACTTCCATTTACACTATAGAAATTTTAGTAAACTATGGCGATTTTTTTATTTTGTGGCATTGCGATTATTATTATTTTAGTATTTAGATATATTATGTAGTTGTGTTTTGTTTGGTGTACTTACTTAAATAGTTTTGAATCGATTTTGAAGTTTTTTGTTGCATTGTCCGTTTGTATGCATCAATTGTTAAACCTCTAATTATAATGCTCGAATGTGACAGGATAATCACCTGTCAAAATTAGTGGTTTTTTTATTTGAAGCGGTTTTGTTTGAAAGGCAATGAGTTCGTGATTCTTATTTTGTTTTGCTGCATTGTGCAAATTAGTTGTATTAATAACATTTCCGTGGTGATTATTAGTTAAAATTTTTGTTACTGTTAATATTAATTACATTTGAATAATCTGTCTAGTTTGATTATGAAATATTTATATATGTTTTATAAATGCTTACAAAGTGGTATTTTTAGTTTTTTATTGATCATTATTTTCCACAATAATTTTGTACAAATTGTAGTTATTTCATATACAATAAAACAGTATTTGTTTTACTATTCTGTGAGATTATTGGTATTACTTTGGATGAAATTTTGCATGTGTTTATTAAACAATTCAACTTATTTATTTGGTTTCACTAAATAGCTTTTGTTTGTAATTAATTATAATTATATAAAATTACATGTAATCCTTTTATTCATATAATAAAAAGCACAAGCATGTAAATTAATATTCAGAATATGTACTTTTTCATATCGTATGTGAATTTTTGATAATATAAATTGTGTTATGTCCATGAAAAAAACTTCTTCTAGAAAAAAATCCCATAAATATCAAAGTTGTCATGTCTAACTGTGTAGTCTTATTCTGTCACTCAGTATAACATCTTTTATAGTTTCGAAGACGGGTTGACAACTCATTCATGTGTGTACATATTTGGTTTTATTGTAGTCACTGAAGTTTATATGATGATACTAGTTTTATGCTTGTGGCTTCGTTCACGTGGTATTTTGAAATATGCTCTTAAGTAGATCTTGATTTATTATCGCTATATATATCCGATAGGTTCAACA